ACCAAAATATACTTTGTGGTAAACAAACACTTATGTAAAGTTAAAAAAAATAAAAACATCAAATCACAATTATAACCAGTAGTCAGCAGCAGAGGTTATTGGCTTATTAGTCATTCATTTCTACTTTTTCTCTATATTTTGAAATGATAAAATCACTATTATAAAATTATAAAATCATCAAGAAATCAGATTTTGTCAGAATTTTAAACTTTTTTTGTGTATGAAGTAAGAAAAAGTCACGAAGTGCCTTGAAAATTTTTTCTTCAATTTGCAACTAAATCACACATAATCACTGAAGTTGGTCAGTTCCATATACTAGAAGAATAATGGTACATTTAATAAGAGTGGAATATATACATTTTCTATATAAAAATTCGATTTTGCACCTGTTACTGTTGTTAATAAAAGTACATTTTGTATGCATCTTTACTCAAGCTTAGTGCTTTACTGTAAAATCTGTATAAACAATAAACAAAAGAAAAATAAACAAGAAATGAACATGTAATATTATTAGTAACTGCACTTATTAATGCAAAACAATAGTAATTTTATGATTAAATGATCTATATTTTAATACTCCCACACACCACACCCAGTGCTACCAAATCTGCTCCTGGCGCCACCATCTGTAGAACTTACTGGCGCTGGTGCCACTGCTCTCAAATGTAAGTCTGGAGCCCTGCAGTAGATATTCATATATCTATATATCAGAGATTTATATATATATATATATAGGTCAGTAAGATTCTTTTATAAAGGCATTAATACTTTATCAATCAGAAGTGACATTTATAATGTTACAATAGATTTCAAATAAATGCTGTTCTTTCGAAATTTATAGTCATCAAAGTAAAAATGTATCATGGTTTCCACAAAAAAAGTAAGCACCACAACTGTTGATAATAATAATAAAATAAATGTTTCTTAAGCAGCTAATCAGCATATTAGAATGATTTCTGAAGGATCATGTGACACTGAAGACTGTAGTAACGATGCTGAAAATTCAGTTTTGCCATCACAGTTGCAAAATATATAAAAATAGAAAAGAGTTTTTACCGTTAACTGTTTTTACTGTATTTTTGATTAAAAATGCAGCCTTGGTGACCATAAGAGGCTTCTTTCAAAGACGTTAAAAAACGTACCAACCCTACGCTTTTGAACAGTGTTTTTGAAACCAGAAAAGTTGGGACGTTTGTGAAATGCCCTAACACTAAGAATATATTATTTGCTCATTCTCTTTAACCTTTATTTAATTGACTAAAGTACAAAGAAAAATTTTCACTTGGCCAACATCATTTTAATTTGTAAATATAAACAAATGTCGATGCCCTACATGTACATTATTTCTTTGGAATTCCCTGAATCTTTTCACAATATTATGTATGTTAGTAGTTAGTGAAAGACCTCAATTCTTTGCCATTTTGCATTGAGAAATGTGGTTTTTGGTTTATTTGACACTTCTCTCATGAAATTTGGCACAAAGTGATGAGCCATGATCCAGCTTTGCTTGCAAAGATTGAGATGCTCCTTTTATACCCAAACACGATACCTTGACCTATTACCAATTCACCTGCTTACTGTGAACCGTTTCAAAACGGTTTAATTTGGATATTCTATAACCTTTTTTGGAGAGTGTTGCAGCCATCAAAATCTAAATTTGTTTATATTTATAAAATACGATTTTAAGTTGGTCAGTGAAAACTTTGGAAATCTTTTTTGTATTTTTGTCAATTAAATAAAAGTTTATTAAATAAAAGAGAAATGAACAAATCACAGATTCTTGATTTTACTGCATTTTACAAAACATCCCAACTTTTCTGGAATTGGGCTTGTATTTATATTAATTCTTATTTTCTTTATTTACTTACTTATTTTCAGGTATAACCTACATTACGAAATGACATTTTTTTTTAAGTACAACAAAAAACATTTTGGTCATAGAAATCTCCAATTTATTTTAATATTTTAAATCCCTGTTCTCTGTCTATGTAGTATCTGCCTCAGTTGGCCAGCAGTACTGTCTTCCCAGCTGTGGAAAACAGAAAATACTACAACAACCTGCGTAAATTCAACTATCATCTACCCAACATATGATGGACGTCGACTCATCAGGAACCCGAGACCCGACCGACCACCTCCCAGCTGGTGTGTGTGTGTGAGTGTGTGTGTGTGTGAGTGAGATAGACAAAGGGCTCTGCTCTGCCTGTAGAACAATGATGTCACACTGCCAAAGCAGACTCACAGAGGCATTTCTGTAATATGTAAAATGACAACAGCAATAATAATAGCGTTAAAACTGAATGCTGTGCTTGATAGTTTGATTAGAAACTGACTGTGGGACAGATTTTTTTAACCTCTATGATCCAGATGTTTTACTTAATTATAAATCCTAATGATGTTTGAAGTGTGTATATGTGACTAAAATCATTTCTAGAGACGTAACCAGACCCAGACAGAATCAACAAACATTTTTTTTCAGATAAAAGACTGGAATCTTGCAGTATGGATTTTAAAAATCAGAATTCTGAATTGCTGAAAGCATGATCAAATTAGCCAAAATATTTAATAAATGAAGTGTTTGGGGATGTGTAGAACTTGTTTGAAATGTGCAGAAATCTTTCTGTGTGGGCCTGGAAATAACCCTGCATTTTTTAAACATTTATCACCCCATTGTGGACATCATGATCTTTTTGTTGCCTTTAGGAGCAGTGCTAATAATTGCGCCACTGAATTGCACCAAATGCCAAATTCAATGTGATTTGCAAATGTGTTTTTTGTGTTAAAATAGATGGAAAATTAAATAGTTTTTGTTTGTTTTCAGACTAAATCATTAAAGATCTTTCTGCAACATATATTTGTTTCTATAGCTTCTTGATAAGAAACGAAACAAGAAGTGTATGAAGAAAACAACAACAAAACTGTTGAAGATTTATTGATAATGGCAATATAACATTGTTCAACTGCCCGGGGTGGTCTGACAAAATTCCATTTTGTTGGATCAAAGCTAATTCGGTGTTGTTGACTGTGCAACATATATTTGTTTCTATAGCTTCTTGATAAGAAACGAAACAAGAAGTGTATGAAGAAAACAACAACAAAACTGTTGAAGATTTATTGATAATGGCAATATAACATTGTTCAACTGCCATTTTGTTGGATCAAAGCTAATTCGGTGTTGTTGACTGGCCTCTAAGGCAGAGGAGCTCTCTGCATCCATCCTTGGGATGCTCAGTTGCTTGGATACTGTTGCCACAGCAGTCATGGACATCAGCCAGAGGGCTCGTCTGGCCTGGTCATAAAACTGTGAAAGTTGTGGTTTTCCAAATGCGCTCTGAGAAGCGCTGTGATTGGCTAAGCAAGGTCCAGTTCTATGGTGAGTCTGGGAAGTGCAGTCTGGAGTCTGTCCACAGTCTGATCTTTATCTTTTACACCAGGCAGATCACTGAGAAGCAGCCACTCCAGGTTCCTAATATACACACACACACACACACACACACACACTTATGGTTTCAATAGCAGAAGCCACTGATTTTACTCTAGTGACAAACCAATATATCAGCCAGGGCTGCGCTTCTCAAAAGTAGATCATTAAAACCTTTGGCAGCAGTGGTCTCTATGATCAACTTAAAGGTTAATTTTTTTTCTTCACTGGAACAGATTTGGAGAAATTTAGCATTACATCACTTGCTCACCAATGGATCCTCTGTAGTGAATGGGTGCCGTCAGCAGTCCAAATAACTGATAAAAAACATCACAATACATGCAGATTTTTGCTTCACAAGATTTATTTACAGACAATTTGTTAATTGTTGGATTATTGTGATGTTTTGATCAGCTGTTTTGGACTCTCATTCTGACAGCAGCCATACACTGCAGAGGATCCTTTGGTGAGCAAGTGATGAAATGCTACATTTCTACAAATCTGTTCTGATTTAGAAAAACTCAACTACATCTTGGATGGCCTGAGGGCAAGTACTTTTTCAGGAAATTTTCATTTTTGGATGAACTATTCCTTTAAGCTCACACTGCTTCTGGGAAAAGCAACCCTGGCTGATTAATTCACCAATATTTGGTCATTTGAGATGATCAACATCATCCAATTACCATGCCCATGTGGCATACACACAAAATTATGGGCAATAATGAGAGCTAAACAGAAATAAAAGATGATGTTGTCATACCTGAGGTGATGAAGAGTGATGATTCCTTTATCTGTCACGTTGCCACAGGAAACCATCGTCATGTTCTTTAAACTGTCCTGCAGTGTCTTTATTTGACTCAAACGCTCCAGACAGGCATCTTCTATATAAATACACTTATTGAACCTGATTTCCTCTACATGCTCAAGACCCTCTAAACACAAAAACAAAGGTGTGTTAGTACCAACAATTCTTTAGATGCTTTTGGTAAATAATAATATAATCCAAGTGGTCAGCAACCTTTTTAAAAAAAATAAAAAATAAAATTATATATATATATAATATAATATATATTATCTGATATAATCAGTTGGTCAACATATTACTAGGTGAAACAAGCAAGTTAGGGTTTGGCTGGTGTTGTCATATTGAGTACAGGAAGAGTAGAAATGTAAACTAGTGTACTGTATAGTAAAACTGGATTTGTGAAAAGACTATGTGAGTGAAAAAGAAAGAGGACTGCACTGTATCTGTCTGTGTAAAACACCCCTTAGCTTTACGTCACTTTTTCCCCACAACTGAACCTCTCATCCTCACCTGTGACACACAGACAGTGTCTCAGTGTCACACACACATGGTAGCGTCCTCACAAACTTTCCCTCTCTGGGGTCTAATTTAATAAATAATGCAAGACTGTTTTGCTGAAGCAAATGGAGTAAGAGATCTTAGAGTTGAAGCAGGTGCTTGACCTTCTCCATTCACTGATGATTTCATTAAATTTGTATAGGTAATGTCACAATGCTAAAGATTAAAAGATAATTCTGCTACATAAAGGTAACTGGATCAGGGCAGTGAGAAGAGTGTTTATGAGTTTAATCGATCACTTACCCAGATGATCAAAACCACGATACATGATGCAGGACTCTGTGGCATCAATAGCTTCTATCCGGTAGCGGCCCAGCGGCCCAGTCGGGAGTCCGTTGTAATCGTGCTGCCAGCGGTCGAAACCACGGAACCGGACTTTTGCACCACATCTCAGGAGCCATTCGGCAGCGGCTCGATCAGGACCCACTGCTTTAATACGCTCATAATCAACTCTATATTGATCAAAGAACACAACAATTACGGATCACTGCATCTGGAAAGCTGACGTGACATTTCAAGCAGTGACATGCCATCTAAAACCAGTGACAGACCAATGAATCATCTGCTTTTTAGCCATTTTTGATGGATTGTGCACATTTTCAGTTTTGTATAAACTACCGTTCAAACGTTTGGGGTCGATACATTATTTTCAAATGTGTTTTTAAGAAGTCTTTTATGCTCACCAATGCTGCATTTATTTGATCAAAGATACAGGAAAAACAGTAATATTGTGAAATATTATTACAGTTTAAGATTCTTCTATTTGAATATATTTCAAAATGTAATCTTTTCCTGTGACCGTAAAGCTGAATACATTTCAGCAGCCTTTAGTGTGACATGATCCTTCAGAAACCATTCTAATATGATGATTTACTGCTCAAGAAAAAATTCTTATTATTATCAATGTTGAATACAGGTGTGCTGCTTAATTTTTGTTGAAAATGAAACATTTTTGTCAGGATTATTCAAAGAATAAAAAAGGTAAAATCAACAGCATTTATTCGAAATGGAAAACTATTTATAACATTACATAACATGACAACATTATAAATGTCATTTTTGATCAACTTAATACCAGTATTTTTTTGTTTTTTAAATAAATATAAATAAAATCTCACTTTTGAACTTTTTGCACTGTATATCTTGTTTTTTTTTGTGACTGAACTGTACTAAATATATATTTCAATATTATAGCAGCCAGGAGCAACACAGATTTTTGGTGTGTTGAAAGACACATTTGTTGACCACTATTAACTATTTTGTACAGCACTGTCCGACATGGAACTTTTAAAATAAATCTGCCACACTTCAGGACTGTTCAAGTGAACTGCAGAAGCTAAAAAGAAATGATGCACATAAAACATTCACTAGATGCTATTATGTTATTAAGTTGGTGTTGAGTTCAGACTCTAAATAAGAGCTGTTGTTGTGAATTAGCAGGCTTAGATTAGTCTGCATAGGGATTCCTCACTCCATGGATTAGTCATTCTAGAGACTAATTACTCTAGACATTGATTAGTCCCTTTATAGATATTTATGGCTCTCACACTCAACATTGTGTTTGTTGTGATTGGCCTCAGGTGCTTTACAGTCTGCTGTGGGTTGGGAAAGGAAATAAATGATGACATTAGAAAAATATTCAACTAGTTACATAACTGTTTTGAAAAATATCCAAAAATTACTTGTTGAAAACAGCATTGAGCCACCCCCAGAACTCACGACTGCCCCCTGACGCCTGCTTGTGTGCGGATAAAATCCTCCGCGCTGACCAGGTGAACAATCTCATGTCTATGGATGAAATATAGAGAGAGAAAGATATATGAGATATCAAAGTATGAAGACATGTTCAGTGACACTTTCTAACAGCAGATCGAGCAGAATGATCTGTGTACGCTGATGGTCGTGTCATTGAATATGGAGGACAACGTAATTCACTTATCAAACATCTAAATGTAGTAAAGCTCCCAGACAATCGGTTCATACCATATACAGAACTGCAACAATAAAATAATGTAAATCCTACAAAACGGACCCTTCGGTTCAGGTCGTTGCTGTTCTGTATATGCGCGGAGTGTCTGTTATTTACATCCTCTGTCCTCCATGCGCCCTCGCTGATCTTTCACCGGTTACGTCACCACGTCTCGCGCTCCCATTGGTCAGTGAGTGTACGTCAGGGGCGGGGCTACAAAGGACAGATTCAGCGTCCTAACAGAGAGAAGATTCCTTTACTCGAGCATAAACCGTACCGGGTCAGCGACTAGCACTATGATTACACGGTTATAATAAGTCTGTTAGGAAAAGTGCAAACGTAATTTGTGGAATAATGATACGAACTTTCGGTACCGGATCTGTGTGCGCACGCTTATTGACACAGGGATCAAAGTATGCAAGGTGCAGAGCTGCACACCACAGCGGGTGAGAATAACAACAGCACTACAGAGTTATTGAAACACTAGTACAGAGTACTCACAGTGACACAAAGTGTTCTGACTGTAGTGCTCCTCTATTAAAATTACCTCGGCTGTAGTATGACTTAGTATTAGTATTGTTATTGCAGAGTGATACTGTAGTCAGAATGCATTCAATGACATTAGTTAAGGATGCACCGATATTAAAGTAAAAAGTTACCACTATTTATTCACCCCCATGTTGTTCCAAACTTGTATTACCCTCTTTCTTGTGTGGAACGTAAAAGAAGATATTTTGAAGAATGTTGGTAACCAACAGCTTTGGTTACCATTGGCGTCCATTGTATGGAGAAAAAAGGCAGAGATATTTCACGAAATGTTCGGGCTGTTCCATAGAAGAAGGAAAGTCAAAAAGGTTGAAGCTGTTTTCTTTAAAGTTGCGGACAATAACTGGTCAATGGCTGATATTATTCTGTTTTGTCTAAATAAATAAAAAATAAAACACTACAAACTAAAATCAGATATCTTAAATGTTACAAATGAATTTAGGCATCACAGCATTATAATAAATTATATGAAAAAATAGATATTTATCATGCAGTTTTCTTTTTTTACAGTAATATTAAAGGGGTCATATGATGTGATTTCAACTTTTCCTTTCTCTTTGGAGTGTTACAAGCTGTTTGTGAATAGATACGATCCCTAAAG